AGAAGGAAAATTTTTTAAAAATAATTAAAAAAAAAACAAAAAAACTTTGGTCTTTCTTCTTAATAATCAATAAACATTTAGACAATAAAATTTTTTTTTCGTCAAGTTTGTCATCTTTTTCATCATGCTATGCTCTTTTTTTAGCGATCACATGGAGGTACCTAAATTTGAGCTATTCTAAAGGAAAATCTGCTTTGAATTGAAAAATAATGAATCCAATAAAACTATGACATTATTTAATTAGAAAAGCTTTTAATTGCTTTTGTAAATAAGTTATATTAAGGACATTATTATCTAAAGAATTAAAAATTTTCTGATGAATAACGAATTTTTACAAGGATTTTTTTTTTTTTTTTTTTTTTTTTTTTTTTTTTAAATTTTAATCATAATTTATAATAGTTTAAAATCATGTAAAATTCTGCATTGGGCTATTTCCTGGATGTGATGTAGTAATTAAATGAAAACAAAATTTACAAATCCAAAATTGAAAAGATTAATCAACTTAGTTGAGCTATTCTATTTTTAAAATATTTTTTTTTATTTTGTATTGTTTTTACTTAATATGGTCCTTGTTTTCATGTATGGTAGACTGAAATTGCCATTATTATGACCTAAAAGTTTTGTCGCTTCAGTTACGTTTCAGCAGGTTTTCAAAATATCCATTCAGCTATAAAAGTTTAAAGCTTAAACTAAGTTTTACTTTTTTCAATTACTATTTTGCTAAATATTTTTATTTTATGTAATTACATTAGTGTGGGCCATACTTCAATTGAATAATCATAGTATTTCATTTGTTATTAAATTATAAAATTAATTGAAGAAAATTATATAGTATTTTAAATTTTTTTATTTTTGCATCTTGGAAAGGTAAATAAAAGTCAATAAATTATTAAATAATTGCGGAAAATATGTTCATTTGTAAAAATTATTAGGTAGTTAAAAACCAAAAAAATGAGTTCACTTAGATTTCTGACAATTGGGTCATCCATAGTAGCTGTCATCGCTTCTATCAGCAGTCCATCAAACGGATCAAATGAACAAGACCAATCATTAATAATTGGTTGTATATGATTTTTTCATGCTATAGGTAAGTAATATTTATTTCAAATCAGATTAATTTAACTTTAAATTTTCTAATTTTACTAAAATAATGTGTAAGAAATAAATATTTATTTTTTGAAAGAATTTTTAAATAGAAAAATTTGGTTTGTTTACAAATTTCTTAAAAAATAAGAAAATGGCTGCTTTTAAGAAAATTTGACATTCCAATCTGTATAATTTCTATCTGAAATACACCAGAATATTTTACTTAATGGAAATAATAAATTTAATTATTAAGATTTCAATTAGAGCTAAAATGAAATCTTCAAGAAAGATTTTTCATTTTTTAAATTTAATTTTAAACCTTAGGTATCGAAAATATATGCCAAGAAAGTGCAGGTACTTAGTATAAACATGCCAATTTCTTGTCAGGAAATAAGGGTGATAACTGTAGTAAATTTACAACCAAAAATATTTGAAATTCAATAAAACATTAGATTACAGAGAATATTTCTTTAAATTTTTAAGATTACTGAGTACTTGAAAATTATATATAAAAGGTGTTCACGTTAATTCAGTTACTTTTTTAATGCCTAAAGTCATATAGAATAACATTAGATAAATATCAATCTCTCATGAAGCTGTCAAATCTGCCAACACCTTAAACAAACAGCTATTGTTGGGTTAGAAATCATGCATTTCTGTGATATTTTTAAGTAAATAATGTTTCAGAGTAGATTAATTATACTTTAAATCAGCTAATATTCCTAAAGAAAGTTTCAGAAAAGTATATTTTATTTTTGGAAGATTTTTTAATAAAGAGAAAAAAAAATCCTTCCAGTCAATTTAAATTAGTTTTGACATGTTTTGCTTACTGGAAATATTAAATTTAATATGTATTAGCTTGAAATTAAAACTAAAATGACAGCTTTAAGAAAATTTTACATTTTTAAAACTTCATTTTAAACCTTAGGTATCGTGTTTTCTGTGCTGGTACCTACAGAAGATAATATGAGAAATTTCCGCATCTCTTTTTTTTTTTTTTTTACTCCTTTGTAGCACGTTCGAATTTTGGTTAAAAACCTTTTTTTTTAATTTTTTTTACGTCAGAGGCAGACCAAAAATAAAGGTTAGTTAGTGTTTGAGGGGTGGGGCTTTATCCGGTAAAAAACATTGATTTGTAAATTCTAGCAAAAATCAGATAATTGTTGAATTTTAATGAAACTTTCAGGTATTACTCACAAATGGATTTTTTTTTTTTTTTTTTTTTTTTTATCGAAAATCTTGATAAATATATATCTACTTATTTAATATTATGAAATTTCAAGAAATTCTTTGTTGGGCTTAGTGTTTATATCAGTTATAAGGCCAAGATCTCCTAGAATTTAAATAATCAAATTTTTGGGGTCATTCAAGAGCCATCAGAGAAAATATGCTCTGAATCGTGAAATATAAAATATGTAATAAAACTAAAACATTATTTAATTAGAAATGTTTTATGTATAAAATATGTTATGGACATTATTGTCTTAATAAAAATATTTTTTTCAATGAATAATGAATTTTTACAAAGATTTTTTTTTTTTCTAAAACAATTTGAATTAGAATAATTTATAAACTTTTAAATCTTAAGATTCTGTATTAATTTGTAGCATTCAAGTGATATTATTAGGTTGGTGTAAAAAATAATGACGTAATAATGTCGTTTTTTGACGTATTTTTTAACGTCAAAAGACGACATTATTACGTCATTATTTTTGTACCAACCTAATATTAAATACAAACTAAAATATTTATTAATCATAAATAGAAAAGCTTACTACAATCCTCCACCCCAGTATTTTAAAAAGAATTTTGAATTTTGTGTGTATAAACATACCAATTTTTGTAAATACAGCTGCCCATACATGGTATTATCAGAAAATTAGTACTGCTCAGTTATTGCTCATTGTTTCTACTGTGTCCAAATACACATGGCCCAGCACAGGAATTGAACTTACAATTACTGTCACCAAATTTATGAACCAATGCTTTAATCCACTAGACTGTTGTCCCTGTAGGTTGCATGAATTAATACATCTGATAAAGGCCAGAGTACACCAGAAACAATGTAACAAAAATGTTATACACTATTTACTTGTTAGTGTATATTTACAAGATTATAAAAGCATGTGAAACAATTATAATGCAATATTTATTATTATCCATTTTATAAAGAAATAAATATGAAAACAAATTCTTTTATTCATAAATTTATAAAAAAGCGTGAACTATAATGAAGTATTTATTTCCCATTTTATTGATTGATCCATTTTTTTATGGATGTTAGTTAAAACCAGGAAATATTTTTAGATTGTAAAAATGTTTTTTGAGATAATAATGGTTTAATGATACAAGTCTTACTAATTAACCTAATACTCAGAGTTTCTCAACTAGGGTTCCCCAGAACGTCTCCAAGAACAGGTGAGATAAGCTAATGCACTTTTGACTTTTTGTTTAATTTCATGTATGTAAGATTACTGTTTACATTCATATTATAGGTATATAATATTGGTTACTTACATTTATTTTTTATGTTTGAATTTAGAATTTTTTTTGTGTGAGTGAAAACTCCCTGATGAAGTATTATAAACAAACACTATGAATTTTATTTAGCATTACCAAAAAATTTGACAAAGAAGTATTAAATTTTCCTTAAACCAGTTATTCAGAAAATATATGCTATGATATTTACCATGTGAACTACAATGAAAATAAAATGAGAAAAATATGTTCTATAATTTTGTTTTTGTGCAGGGGTTCCTTGAGGCACGTAATTCATTTTAAGGGTTACGTAAGAGTAAAAATGTTGAGAAATGCTGCTCAAACCTATGTCAGCCTTTTTGATGCAAAAAAAAAAAAGTGTGTGTAAACCAAAATGGGACCCATGTCTACCTTTCTGTTAATTCATTGTGACATTTGTCCTATAAGACTTACTTATTTAGCCAAACAAAAAAGTGGTAACTAGGGCCTTGCACCAAACAAAAACAAGTCATATAACAATAAATCCATGTACCATTCACAGCAAAAAAAAAAATAGTGTAGAGAGGATAATTAAAAAAGAAAAATACTTAATTGGTAAACAATTAACTGATGAAATGTTTATTTTACCTTTGTTTTTTTTTTTTTTTTGTTTTTAGAGATTTTATTTAAGGCTTCTTAAGGAAAAAAAAATACCATTTGGTTATTGACGCCACACATCTCCTGGTTTAAATTTATTTCACAAACATACAAATAATGTTACCGTGAAAAAAAAGTCTTTCTTTTTCTTCATTTCACAAGATGGATAATTCTAAAAACAAGTTTGAAAAAATTCAGTTGTTTAAAAAGTAGATTAAAAAAAACAAAGTTGTCACGACGGAAGATGTGAATAACATAAATAAAAAGAAAGGACATAGCCGGCGTTATGTTAAAAGGAGTTTCTCCTGAAAATTTGTGCTAAAAAAAATAAAATAAAAATTATTTAAAAACTCCTACCTTCTCAATCTAATGATCAGTGTTCTAACCTAGGTAAAGACTAAAGACCCAACATTTTTTTAAATGAAATGCTGATTTTCCCCGCTTGAAAAACTGTCATAATGAAAAGTTTAAAGTTTGGGAAATGAAAACGTCAGATTGAAATCTTAGCATTGAAAAGAAAGAAAAAAGAACAGTTTGCATGTTATTTTCTCAAGTCACAAGCCATTGGTTAAAACCGAGAAATATTTTTAGATTATAAGAATGTTTTTTGAGATACTAATGGTTTAGTGATACAAGTCTTACTAATTAACCTATAACTGGAGAAAGAAGAGGTGGATTCATGCCTTTTCCAAGGATATTTGCATGTAAGTGACTATAACAAACACAATGGGAATTGAAACTTGGCCTTCCAGTTAGCAATTCCAAACCATTAGCCATTACACCACCTGCACATCCAGACTTTCAGCACACAGTATTCCCAAGCAGTCACTCATCTAGGTGCTGCCCAGGCTCAGTGTTGCTTAACTTCATTGATCATACAGGAATCGGTATTTCACGTTGATATGGCTGTAAGCTCTTACTAGTTTATGAAGGATTAAATATGAAAAGAAATTTTTTTTTAATCATAAATTTATAAAATGTTGAAAAAAAGAAAATTTAAATAAGTGTATAATAATGAGTAACTGTAAATATAAATTTTGGAAAAAAAAGCATTTTCCATGCATTTCTTTCATTTGTTCCCACCACATCAGTTATATGCCATGTTTTGATACATGACTGACGAGGCAGAATTTTTTCCCGCAGTAGGTTGACATTACTTTCTGCGGTATACCAATTGCCATCTAAGGCTATAGAACCCAGTCTGTCCTGCTATTTACCCATAGCTGGGGGCGGGTGGGGAGAAGAGGAGGATTCATGCCTTTCCCACGCACGTACGTGCTAAGGAAAGCACTTAAGTGAATGCAATGGATTTGAATGGAATTCAAACTTGGCTCACCGATTCCTCAATCCGAGCTGGAGAGCTGAGTTTGAATTCCAGTTAAATCCATTAAATTCACTTACGTACTAATAATACCCTTGCTACTCTATGGTTACTATGACAAATATTTAGGAGTTACATTGCTTAAGTCCCCCCCCCCCTTCTATATTCATGGTGACAAATCATCCTAATTCTCTTCATGTTCCATTGATAATGAATAAGCGCAACTTAGATACATCCCCAGAACTGTTACTTCCCCGGTCCATCCTGTTATCAACCCATAGCTGGGGGAAAGAAGACGAGGATTCATACCTTTCCCAAGGGTATTAGCATGTAAGTGAGTGTAATGGATTTAACTGGAATTCGAACTCTCCCCTCTAATTCCTCAGTCTGAGCCGCTATCCATTACTCCACCATGCCTCCTTTCACCACATACATTCACTATAGACAGGTGAGAGCATCTCTTCCTCCTCTCTCTTTTTTTTTTTTTTTTTTAAAGAAAAAAAGTTGATCACTCATATTCGAGTATGCCCATCTTCTAGAGCAGCTAGCCAATCCCTGGTACAGACGCCTGCTCAGGCACACTACAGAGCCCACCTGTGGTTTATACTGCAACTATGCTGAGAAGACATTAGTTACAGTTTCTTAGAGAGAGAGCACATGATCAACAGTCTGAACAAGGCCAGCACGCCCAAACCCTGACTTGCGTCTCCATGCTATCAATAGCTTCCAAATTGTTCCCTCTACCCAATTTCACTCACATGGCTTGAATCAATCCATGATGTGATTTTCAGCCACTTTCCAAAGGTCCCACAAGCTAGGATCACCTTCAGACCAATAATATCAAGAAGTCATCTTCCTGACAAATCAACCATGGTGTGATTTGAACCCAGGTCTCGTGGTCAGAAAGCAAATATTGTCTACTTGGTTACATGCCCATCTCTTTCTCCAAACCAAACATTAAGACCACAATTACTGAATATTTGGACAAAGTTTACTTTGTGTATAATAACAGAATGTCTGTAATTTGTGCCATATATTTCTATTGATAATGCATCGTTGATCCTAGATCACGATTATTTAAAAAAAATAAAAATAAATAGCAAGGTTGTAAAATTAAAACCAGAAGTCATATAAGAAGAAAATGTATAATGTCTGGAAATGTCATATATGGTAAATAATATTTTAAAAGTCTGAAGGTTATACTTTGCCTACTTGTGTATATTTTGATCTAAATATAAATCTCTCCATTTTCAAAAATCCCTACCCTGGTTATAAGCTGGGACAGTTAACACATTTAGATGGCATGGTTTTATAAATTCCCACAAGTGGAAAAATGTTTTTAACTGTCATTTAGAGGAGAGATTTTGTTTCACAACTCCATCTCACTGATATTTATTTATTTATTTTTTTTTACCATTTCTTTAATAAAGGTTCAACAATTTTTCTTTTTTGTTTACTTCGTATCATCAAACAACAATAGTGTCATCTTCCAAATGTAACTGGATATTTTTAACATATACAAATCAAATGTGTGCCTTAAAAAAAAAATTTGATGATTTGACTTCATTAATTTCAGTTATTGTTGGTAAGTAGACTTCAGAATTTCGCTTTCAAAATTCATTCTATACTAATAGCTTCTTCTTCTCACATTTCTCCCTTGTAAAAACTATTCTGGCCCCTTACCCTGTACCTGTAACAGCATTCACCCGGGGTGGGTTGAGCCAGCTCCAATACTGGAGTTTCAAGGGAATTTGGAATTCACAAGCGGTCCCCAAACCCGCATGTATAGCACATGAGATTTTGATTATAGTGGTGAAGGTTTTGTGCAGGACCATCCACACTTTTTGAAGGGCCGATTACAGAGACCTGGTGCACTACATGCCACAAGGTCCCCAAACGACACTCCACAGGTTTGAATTCAGAGTTTTCCTTCTAGACCAGTTGCCATCCAAGGCTATAGAACCCAGTCTGTCCTGCTATTTACCCATAGCTGGAGGGTATTAGCACGTAAGTGAATGTAATGGATTTGACTGGAATTTGAACTCAGCTCTCCGATTCCTCAATCCAAGCCGCTATCCATTACTCCACCGTGCCTGCCAACTACAATCTTCAAATATTTAACAATTATGTAGTCATATATCTGCTTGATATAGGCCTTGGCTTGTCATTCTCTGCATCTTTAATCAGTTCTGTCTCCATTATAAACTGAAAATCAAAACTAATCATTTCACCATCACTGATTTACCCTCTGCACTATCAACGAGGCTCCATGCTTTGAATGTTTATTTTATGATGAGCAGGTCAAATTCCATAAAAAAGAAATATAATATGAATTACACAAACACCATGGGGTGATTTATCAAGTTTTCATACTGTTTATTGTTTTAATTGTTGATAAATTAAGATTACTGTTAAAATGCAAGTCTGACCGAGTTTTATCATTTTAAAGGCAAACCATAATCATTCCAGGATCTTTTAAGGCACACATTTACCAAGAAACTATTTATAGAAAAAGAAATATAAAGAAGCTATGCTACAGTGGTGCGAAAGTGACTGGAGCTGAGAGTAATTCTTCACTCAAGTGGCATGAAATAAACTGTTATTCCTTGAATGTCATAATATCAATAAAACCAGGGTATATACATTTATTACAATTAAACATTATTACAATGGGTAACGGTGAACTATGCAGCAAATAAATGCTGAAAAAGCACAAAGCCATTTTTGCTCTTGTATTGATTATGCCACACAAATTTGTGAAGACGTGATGTGAACAATACCACAGAAATTCCAAGCTGTCAATGCAGTTTATGCTTGGCATACCATGTAGCAAACCATGTTGCATAGCATGTTGCAAACCATGTTGCAACTCCAGCAATAGACATAGCAGATCAGTTGCTTTCATAGCAACCTTCTATTAGCAAACTATGACTCAACACTTTGACAATGTTTACAGGATTTACAATACCAGGGATTACGCGCCGTCACCTCCCTCTGTCTGTTCTACAAATACTTTCATGGAAATTGCTCCGATGGAGCTGCATTCACTGGTTCCCAGACGTCATGAGTTCCAGCGCCCTACGAGGCTGGCATCCCGCTCTCACCCCCTCACTGTCGAAACTCCTAAATATAGCCGTCTCTTCTACTCTAATAGCTTCATGTCTCGCACCTCTCGCCTGTGGATCTCCCTTCCCTTCTCCTGTTTCCCTGTGAGCTATAATCCCCAGCTATTCAAGTGTAATGTCAATCGACAACTCCAGTTGCCTTGATCTATTCACTACCCTCATCCTTTCTTCTACCACTCCTATCTGATCTTGCTATTTCCTGTAACCCCTTGCATCCTAGTGGCTTCCCGCCTTGCTTGGGGTGAAACGCTTAAAAAAAAAAAAAAAAAAATCTTGATAGGCATTTAACCCAAATGGCTATTTGCACTGGTTGTATTGTAGGCTATTTTCATAGTTATAGGCTCCTTAAGATGATTGCCGAGCTCCAATAAGCAACCAATCTTCTTGCAAAATATCTTCTCATGATGATAATTTATTTGGATTGACGATTGACCTTGATTTCCATGTGACATGGCTGAAATGAAACCGGACAGGTTATTTTCTGCCATTTAAGTGAAGCCGAATTTTTAAAGACTATTTCATACCACTTATGTGAAGGATTACCAAGCAGTCTAGAACTTCATGTAATGGTGTGTGCTTGTCATTTTTTGTCTTTTACTACATTGAGAGATCTTCGTTTTTTTTTTTTGTTTTTTTTTAGGTTTCCCCTAGAGCAGCCATTCTCAACCTTTCCTCCATCATTGCCCCCCTCAGCTTTATGTATTTCTCCATTTACCCCCCCACTCTCATACAAAAAATTCATAGCCATCATAAAACATTGATGTACAATTTTGTGACAAAATGAATGAATGATTTTTTTCATTCAAAATACTAAAGTTTTTTTTTTTTTTTTTTAGTCAAAATTCTGTGCCTAAAAAAAAATACTAAGTGACATTCAAAATACTGATTTCTTATTTAGTACTAATCTACTAATTTTTTAGTATAAGTTAGTACTCTGTATAAAATTCAGTATTTTTATTAACGTTTGTAGTCATTAATAAAAAATTATTCATTTTATCCGCTGTATTAGTAGATCTACAAATTAATACTAATCATAATCATTCATTCAAAAAAAAATTTTGGAAAATACTAAAAAAAAATTTTTTTTTTTTTTTTTCTTTTGAATGATTATGATTAGTACTGACTAATTTGTGACTAAAAATTGTGCAAATTAGTCATTAGTAAAAATAACAAAATAGAAATAAAAAAAATACTGACAAATACTAAAAATTAGTAAATATTCAGTATTCTGATCCAAAAATTAGTAATCCATCATTCATTTGTACATCAATGTCATAAAGAAACAAGAAGGTCAGAAAGAACCTTTTTATTGTTTAGGACTTTAGGTTTTGTATAAAAAATAGTATTATACATTCGTATCAAAAAAAAAAAAGAAGAAAATCAAACCTTTTCTAAATAGAAAATTATGAAGTTAATTTGTATTACAAAAAATAATGAACAGAAACACCAGAAACATTATCAGTGGG